AAATCTCTAGCAGTTCAGACATGGGACAGTGATGCAACAGGACCCGTGTCACAGTCCGGAGGAAATAATTCCCTGACTCCCATATGTTGTTTACCCCAAACCTCCTCTCTCCCTTGGCAGTCTGCCTGTGCAGTAGGTTTGCTGACACTGTTCGCCCAGAGAAACCAAGGCACAGTGAAGTGAAGCAGCTGACCAAGAAATTATTTTAATCTTAGAATTACATCTGTAAAGTTCTTTGCTCCTTATTTTAAGCTCAATCTTATAAGAATGAGTTACTTTTCTGCTAGGAAAGGAATGCTGGGAGGTCTCGAGCTTTCCCCTCTGTTCAAAGCAGGTCTGGACGTTGCCACTTTGGGGTTGGTGCAAATACCAGGGTGTCCTTAAGTCACCTTTCTCTTGTGTGTTTGCAGATGGACATTTAAGAGACACGGACTCGGAGTACCTCCACTGGCTGGTGTGAGTACCACACATCAGAGCTGCGTGCTGCTTAGCTCAGGGAAAGCCCAGGTGGAGCAGACTGAAAGTCCTCCAACAGAGCTCAGGAATAAGCGTTGGCTAAGGCAGTTCCCTGGCTTTCTCTGGTGCTCCTGCCATTAGCTTCTTTACCCCCGTGTTCTAGGTCCTGCTAAAGATGCAGTAGTTCCAGGCGTTGCTGCTGTTTGGCATTCAAATCACTGGGTGTGATTTTTCTTCCAGTGAAAGCAGCCTCTACTATCTGTTCACTTGTCAAACAGGGCATAAGTCATGTCAAAACGTTGCACAGAGCGATTTGCAATCCTGGGTGAATCTGCTGGTGCTAATGGTGGGAAATGAATGGACGTATAGTGAAGTTAACTACTTTGTGTTCAGGACGAACATCCCAGGCAACGACATCAAGTCGGGTAAGGAGATCTGCCATTACTTGCCCCCCTTCCCTGCCATGGGAACTGGCTACCATCGCTTCATCTTCCTCCTCTTCAAGCAAGATTGCCCCATAGATTTCAGCGAGGATGTTCGGCCGATGCCATGGTAATTCTGGCTTTCACTGGGTAGTTTCACGCTCGTTTGGTTTGGCTGTTATTACTTTTTCTGATCACATGCTTGTTAACTGCTGTAGGAGAGCAGTTCCTTTTAATCTGCAGGGTTATTCGGGGCTGCTTTGAGTTTATGTGTCACCTGAAGCTGCAATCCCAGCCCTGCAAGCACTGCAGAGTCCTATTGCTTTAAAACAGGCTGTTAAGGGAGTGGTTGCCCTGCGTGGGGCAGAAACATGCACAGAGCTGGAGAAGCTGGGAGATTTTCTTTTGGCGACTTCCTTTTCCACCTCTGTTTTATAAACTCTGGGGTGATGTGGGGAAGTAGTTGCCCACCAGGGTGCTGCAGGAAAAAAGGTTCACCTCAGCTCTTGTGCTTGTGTCTTGTTTCCAGCCACAGCCTCAAGATGCGAACCTTTAGCACGTTTGACTTCTACAGAAAGCACGAGGATGCAATGACCCCAGCAGGGCTGGCGTTTTTCCAGTGTCAGTGGGACAGCTCCGTTACTTGGGTCTTCCATCAGCTTCTCAGTAAGAAATGCAGCGTGCAGGGCTGCTGGAGGGGGACAGTTTGTGGGCTGGGACATGGCCCTGGCGGGTAATGCGCAGGGTCAGTGAGTGAGCTGTGGCTGCAGGCTCTTGCTTGGTCCTGGCACTTGTCTAGGATCTGTTACAGCACAGACTGGGTATTTACTGAGCCATCCTTCACCAGGCTAACAGCAGTCTGAAGAAACAACCTCTAAAAGGCTGTTTCAAATGAGCATTTTAAAATAACACCAGGGGAGCCTTTGCCATGGCGTGGTTGACCAGCCCTGATCCCGTGTGCGTGTGGAGGCCATTGATGGTGAAGGGGAGGGCCTGGGGTTTCGATCTGAGCCATCTTGCTAACATTCTGTACTGCCCCTTTACAGATATGAGAGAGCCGGTGTTTGAATTTGTGCGGCCGCCCGTTTACCATCCTCCACAGTTAAAGTTCCCGCGCCACCAGCCTCTGAGGTACCTGGACAGATACCGAGACACCGAGGAGCCCACCTACGGCATTTACTAGGGAGCTGGCCTCCTCTCCAGGCTCTCTGATGTACGCTGGCGTGCCGGCCGGGCAGATGGGGCTACCGCCTTGTCTTCCCTGCGTGCACACAGCTGTGCAGCTGGGAGCTGCCTGTGCCTCTGGAGGGAGATGACAAAGTCTCAGCCCCTCCGCTCCCAGTTCCCCTGTGCTGGCAGTGCTGGGAAGTGTGCAGCTGAGGGCAACAGGCATTTGCAGTGCTGGCAGCTGTGTGGTCAAAAGGCTACTTAAAGAGGACATTCGTAGATGAAAGCAAATCTATGGCCAGGCTGAAATCCTCCTGCTGATTCTGTAGCAGAGCTGATCAGTAAGGGTGGCAGGGTAGAGTCCCCCCTAAGATGCCCTGCCTTGCTTCTCTGCAAGGATCAGAGTTCTCCTTTTGCCTGTTTATGGAACAAACAGAGCCAGGCCAGTCTGGATTTCCTCCCCTTACAGCGCTGTCGTTCAGGACTGGGTCGGCTTTCATTTGTGCAGTCCTCTTAAAGAGATGAGTCTGATTAAACACACTCTGAGCGATGCTGGCAGAGCTGTCTTTATTGGGAAGAGCTCGGTATCCTGGCTAGCTGGCACAGAGCTGGGGAGCTCAGCAGGGTGCAGGGGAGGAGGGCAGCCCTTCCCCTGGCCGAAGTTGCTTTCCCCTCTTGGTTGTTGTAGGGCAGGAAGAGTGCAGGTACGCAGGTGGTAAACGTGCACAAAGTCGACGTTTGTGGAGCTGGCTTCTCCCAACAGCTACCCAAGCACGTGAACCTCGGTTTCCTTCCCCTCGCTCCCCGGATAGCACATAGCTGGTGTGGGTAGGTGGAGCAAAAGCAGATTTGCAGGGCTGCTGGGGTTGGGGCAGACGTGGTGGTGGCCTGGCACTCTGCTGCTGCCGGTTCTGTACCCAAGCTGTGGAGAGTCTCTGCTTTCTGCTCTGCTCTGCAGGGCTCTTTGTGCATCCCCTGTTCGCATGTTTAAACCCCCAAATACCAACGTGCTCTTGCTGTTGCAGCTGCCTGTTCCCAGCTCTGGTTCCCAGTAACTTTCTGAGGTTATCCCCTTCCTTAGGAAATAAGAGCCTCCAGCAAACAACAGAGATTGTGCTGAAATGCTCCCCCCCGCTGCTGCTGCTCAGGGCTGATACCAGCTATGCCTGAGCTCCCCAAAATCTCCTCCCACCCCGAAGGGTTCTGGAGTCTGGTTTAAGCTGGGCTGAATTAGCTGGTGAGGTGACCACAGTGGGAGTGCAGGTGTCGTGTAGTTCCAGGCAGAGACACAGGTCATGTTAGGTCCCTCTCTGAGCTTTGAATAGGGCCCTCCTGTAATAGGGCAGCAAGCGCTCGCTGCCTCTTCTGCTGGTGGTGAACAGACTGTAACTGCTTTCAGAGTAACTGGGAAGTTAAGCATCCGTCGTTACCCACTGCTCCCTTTAGGTACACCAAGAGCTAGGGATGCTGCCCGGTGATGAATACATGGGATGAGTCATGAACCTTGGACATCTTCCTTTCCCAGTGCAGTGGATGGTCAATTTGGCCAAGAGGAAGATGACAGCGAGGCAGGCAGTGACTTGCATGGGAAGGGGAGGTATAAATGGGGTGGGAAAATGCACACAGAGTCTCAACAAGAGCTTTTGGAGGTGCAAGAAGAGGCGATGCTGGCTGTGCACCCGTGTGCTGGGGTCTTTAGAATTTGCAGATTCAGCCCAAAGAAATGTTTTGGGGGCTGAAGCTATGCTGGGACATGCAGGGAGTTGTGACAGATCTCAAGTCACCTCCTGAGTCCAGGGGTGGTCTGGGGGGTGGCTCTGAGCCTGCCTGTGATACGGAAACTGCTCCGACCTCCCAGCAGCCCACTGGCGAGCGCCCTGGCTGCAGCACAGACCTCCTCCCCGCTTACCCTCCCCTGCGTAGGTGAAAGCGAAGCCACGCATGTGGGGAGGCGGCAGAACCATTGCAAACCGAGGCCGTCCTGCCAGCGTTCAGCTGCCTGGGGGTGTGCGTGCAAGCAATAGCACGTCTGCGAGGGTAAGGAGATAAGGTTTGGACTGGAAGGTTGGGAGCTTTTTCTCCTGAAACTGAACTGTATGAAGACGAGGTGAAGGTATGTGGTGCATGAGCATCGCAATTGCCTCCCGGCAGAAGACTCCACCTGAGCAGGGACTGGTGGCCCAGATGACACCTTTCTTGTGTTTTGGAATACTGATGTGCACGGGTGTTGCAACGAACTTGGTAGGAAAAGGAGTGGTGGGTGTGCAGTGCCAACAGCAAAAGCCGTAGTTGAAAATGGAAAGACGCAAGGGTGAAATGTGGCCCTGGCTGGCTGCTGGCATGTGTCACAGCCCTTGTCACTGCAGAGGGAGGTGACATGTGGCTGCAGCAGCAGTGGGTGACCCTTCTCTGCTGGTTCCCAGGCTGGCAGATGCCAGGAGCGCTGTACTGGGCTCTCTCTGCCAGGGAGGACTGCTGTGCTCTGCTCAGGGACCCAGCCCTGGCAGAGGTGAGGATGCCAGGAAGTTCCCTCAAAGGGCAAAAAAAGGAGTGAAATAAAATTTTACATCGTATATGTACCCATGCAAACTCTTTCGTGGAAACAGGCATTGCTCTGAACCTTACCAGCCTCTTGCATGTGTCTCCCTGTGCTGTCACTGCAGCGTTTCACCCTCTCCAGGGCCTCCTGCTGTGTTTTGCAGCACTCCCTGTCCCCGGGGGAGCAGCTCCAACCCTCCCCATCGACTCCCCAGCCTGTGGCACAGCCAGCGTGGCCGAAGGGCCGAGGGGGCACCCACTGGGTGTCTCTTTAAAAGCACACTTGGCTCGGAGCCCTGACCCGCCTCTGGGCTCAGCGTCACCATCTCTTCCTCTTCTGCACAGCTGAGTTTCTGTTTCCCCAGCTTCCTTCGCCAGCTTCTTTCCCCCATCACCCCGATCCCTGGCACAGGCAGGATGGCATCGCCCGTCTCGCAGAAGCTGGAGGAGAAGCTGGTGTGCTCCATCTGCCTGGAGCTGTTCAGGGTGCCCGTGACCTTACCCTGCGGCCACAACTTCTGCAAGCACTGCATCAGCAACCACTGGCACAAGCAAGAGCAGGCACCCACCAGGGCCGAGAAGGACTACACATGCCCCGAGTGCCGCACGAGCTTCAACCAGTACCCGGAGCTGAAGAAGAACGTCACCCTGTGCAGCGTGATGGAGCTGGCCCGGGATGGCGAGGCATGGGTCTCGGGCACAGAGAGGTGTGAGGTGGCCCGCAGCGAGCTCTGCCCGCAGCACGGGCGTCCGCTGGAGCTGTACTGTGAGGATGAGCGGCGATGCATCTGCTGCGTCTGCACCGTCCAGCAGTGCCAGCAGCATCGACGGGTGCTCTTCGAGGAGGAGCGCTTGAAAAAGCAGGTAGGGATGATGGGTGGCAGGACTGGGGCGATGGGTTGAGCAGGGGGAGTCGCAGCAGCTTGGGCACGGCACAACACCCACCTCTGGTGTCCTGTGCCCTGCCGTGGGGACGTGATGTGGCTCCGTGTGCCGAGCTGTGCCTGGCCTCGGCTGAACGGGGGACTGGCATGGACTCTGGCCAGGGAGATGCCATCAGCACCCAGCTGCTCCCCAAGAAACTGGGCGCTATCAGGAGCAGCAGAGAGCTGGGTAAATCCAGCAGCACTGGATGAACGGTGACATATGTGTTTATGACTCCCTGATCTAGAGGAAACAGCTAAAAAGGGGGTGAAAGACAGCACAGGGTTTCACTTCTCAGTGATCCTGGATGCAGCCTTTCCCCTTCCCAAGCCTTTTCCTTCCCTGTGAGCCTTGTTCTACAGCCCCAAGAGGGCTCCCGGGGGCCGGACAGGCAGCAGCGTGCTGCACTGCAAGACATTGGTGCCTCCCTTCGCAGGCCCTTTTGAAAGAGTCCCTGGAAAAAGCCCATGAAGAATCGGAGAGGATCAAGCAGGTGATGCAGGAGCTGGAGGAGCAAACGCGCAGCATCAAGGTAACGCTGTGGCTGCCTCCACACCGGGTGCGTGGGTGGGAGTGTGCTGGCTCTCATGGCTTTTCCCCACCCAGGACTCCTCCGAGGGGCTCAAATTGGTGACTCTGAACAAATTCACCATCCTGAGGAAAGCCCTGGAGAATTTCCAGTTGTGGACAGTGGCTAGGATCGAGGAAGAGCAGGCAGCAGCGCTGGGGCGCATAGAGGAGGACTGGAGTCTTCTGAAGGACCGCCTGGACATCCTCGGCCAGCACAGGGAGAGGGCTCAGCGCCTGCTGGCCTGCTCCGACCACAGGACTTTCCTTCAGGTACCGTCACAGTGCCTGGATGTGCCGTGCCCTTTCGGTGAGGGCAGAGATGCAGTCGACCCCTTCCCCAGGGGGAATGCATCCTCAGCCCAGCGCAGGGATGTGATGGGGCTGGGGGAACCCCCTGAAAAGGTGGGGGGAGTGATGCTAGATCGGAGCAGCTGGTGCTGCCCGCAGAGCCATGGGCAACATCTCCCACCTCCAAACCACTCAGCAAGGCTCTTCCACTGACAGCAAAGCACAAAGACCTGTGCAGTCCCTCTGCTCTCCGCAGCCTCAGGCCCCCCCTGTGACTGTCCCCTGACCCTGCACACCAACCACAGCTAGTGACAGATGTTTTGGGGATGCTCCCATCACCTGCTGGGGAGACGCGGCCCGTGTGGATGGGATTCGGAGCTGCCGGTCCTCCCCAGGCTGGTGCATGGGTGTTTGTGCGTCTGTCTGCAGGAGTTCCCCCTGCTCCCATCTCCGGGGAGCCCAGAGGTGCTGCTCCCCATGGAGTTTGATGTGGCTGGCGTGATCAAGCCCATCGCTGAGATCATCACTAACATCTCCAGGCTCCTGCTGGAGGACCTGCCCAGCTCTGTGGCCCACAAAGCCCCCGACCCCACTGGCCAAGGTAACCCTTCTGCTTGCAGGACCACCCCAAAGGGCTCCAACTCATCCTGAACCATAGCCTGGCCCGTGTCACCGGGATGGGGATGCGGCTGCCAGGCAGAGGGGGTTGGGATGGGGACGCACATCTACTGTTCAGCAGTTGGCTATCAACAGGATGGGATGGGCTGGGTGGCTTCACCGTGGCCCCCTCCTTGCTGGCAATGCCAAGCCACGGCGGCACATCCCTGCTCCCAGGCTTGGGTACGATGAACTTCCTCCTTCTCCTATCAAAGCCAGGAAGGAACAAGTTTTTGGGTGGCATCACTCAAAACGCCTGTCCCCATCCTCCACAGACCCAGTGCATCCCCAGGAGCCGGCGGTGAAGGTGGCGGCCCCTCTCCCTGCGTGCCAGCTCCGAGCTGAACTTCTGAAGGGTGAGGAGCACGTGGGGGTCTGGAGGGACAGCACCCCGTTGGGGATGTAAAGCCCCAGCTGCTTCACCAAGCCGGGCTCTTCCCTGGCAGGAGGGTGGTCATGGCTGTGGGGACAGAGGCTCCTTCCCTGGCTCTTCCAATCCCTCTCCCTAAATGCAGAGAAGGGTGGTGCAGGGCCGGGGTGGACAGGATGCGGATGGGGCAAACACTGCATGGCTGGGAAAGGGCTCATGAGGTGGATTAGTGGCACCAGGGAATGCTTTCCCGTGGAAACTGGGGCTGCCAGTGCCCAAAATTGGGTTGGTTGCTGCCCTGGATCTTGCCCCGTCTCCATCCTCTCCTTTTCACCCGCCTTGGGCATCTCGCCCGGGCAGGAGCGACGTGCCTGTTCCCAACGACCCATATTTAGACACAGCGCTTGCCTGCAGGCAGGCAACGTCAGCAGCTGGCAAACGAGCACCCACAGGGATGTGCCGTGGGCTGCCCCAGCTGCCCCGCACAGCACAGCACCAGTCCAGAGCCCTGCCTGCCGTCATTGCCCTCTCTCCAGGAATATGGCCCCAGCACTCCCAACCACAGTCCTTTGTGTTCCCTTCCCTCCCTGGGTCCATCCCACTCTAATTCCTTAGGGATTTCCTCAATGATTCTTTTCCCATCTCCTCCCTGTTGGGAAGAGGGTTGGATAATGTTTAGGGCGTGTTGGTTATGTCACTCTTGCCAGGGAGGCAATTGATGCCAACGGGACCTGTAAGGATTCCTTCCATCAGGCCCCACAAAATGTTCTCAGGGTTATTAATAGGAAAAAAAAAAGTTATTTACGGGCAGCAGGCACGAGCCCAGCATAGCTGGCCGGGCTGGGCTGTTGCAGGAGGAAGGTGAGGTGCTGGTGGCCGGTGAGTGCCCGTGGCAGGAGGAGTTATGGGAGCCCACGCAGAGGACAGTAACTCCCCACAGTACCGTATTTGCTCACTTAATGCCTGGTTTTCTCCCCCTCTCCCCACTTACGCTCATATTTTTTGCCCTTAAAACCAAGCACATCTCTTCCAAAACGACCACAGAGCCACCGCTGCTGGCTGGCTGGGAGCTGGGCCGTGCGAGGACTGTGCGAAGCATTGCGTCTCAATGCCTCGCCAGCTATTTCTGGGCTGTTTCCAGTCCTTCTAGCAGGCGGGCGGGCAGGTATCGCATCTCACCCCGCTCACCTTCCCCTCCAAACATACTACAACTTGTTCCCTTCTATTTTGGGAGCCAGCCCTATGCAGTTTAAACCGCATCACCGTTGGGGGGGGATGCTCATGCCAAGGGTGTAAAGGTCTGATGAAGCGTTCCAGCCCCATCCATGCCATTGCTCTTCCCAGACCACCGCAACCTGACCTTCGATCCCGAGACAGCCAACAAGTACCTGGAGCTGTCAAAAGGTAACCGGAAAGCCAAGCACGGCCCCAGCGCCGTCTGCGGGCAGCAGGAGCAGGGACCCCGCTTCGAGCCCTGGCAGGTGCTGTGCACGCACGGCTACGGCCATGGCCACCACTACTGGGAGGTGAAGATCTCCAGCCACTCCGTCATTCTGGGGGTGACCTACCGTGGTCTCCCCCGCAAGCAGCAGCAAGGTCACAAATTCAACATCGGGCTGGACGGGGGCTCGTGGGGGCTGCAGGTGCGGGAGGATTGCTACCTGGCCTGGCACAAGGGCCGGGCAGAGAAAATCCAGGAGCAGCTGTATATGAACCTGGGGGTCAGCCTGGATTACAGCAAGGGGCTCCTCTCCTTCTACGGCCTTGGGGAGAGGACGCGGCTCATCCACTCCTTCCACAGTGTCTTCACCGAACTCCTCTATCCCGTCTTTTGGCTGTGCGAGGGGCGAGCGGTGACGCTGTGCCAAAGCGACTGAGCCGGAGCCCCCGTGCTGCTCCGTTAGCCGGTCCCATAGCCGAGCTGCAGCCAGGGGCTGTCACGGTGTGAGTGGGACCCCGATGCCAAGGCAAGAGTGGGGTGCAGTGTTTTAACAAAAGCTGATGAGGACAGATATGCAAGTTAACCCACTCTGATTTGCATATGCAAATATCACACTGGTGACACAAGTTAGGGCAGGGGAAGGGATGCAGGGCCAAGGGCTGTACCCTTGGGGGGGATGGAGCCCCCGGTCCCTGTGCGTAGGGGCACAGGCGGGTGTCTCTGCCTGCAGACGGGGAGAGGGAGGGGGAAAGACTTAGGTTTTTCCTCTTTCTCCTATCCCTCCCAAGCCTTGAGAAGATTTGGGGTGAGGGGGACCCCAGAGGGGGGTGCTGCAGCCATGGGGTGCTGTGGTGCAATGCGGAGGGAGCCCTGTGTTCCCCCAGCCCCACATGCAGGCAGGTCCTGCTCCCCCAGCCCCTCACGGTCCCGTCTTGCCACTCTTGGATATGGCAGAGCACCTTTTTAGGGTGCTACGCTGCAGTTGCTCTTTGCACGAAGCTGCTTTCCCCAATAAAGCTCTATTTTCCTACTGGTTTGACCTTGGTGCTGGTGTGAGCCATGGGACCAAGCAGCACTGGAGGGGGGGCTGAGCTGGGTGCCCCTGCTCCCACACCCGTCCCTGCAGGGGCCCATCCTGCCCCTCTGCATCCTCACAGGGCTGGCAGTGGGAATCAGTCCCATGTAGTGACCAGCTGGCAGCAGAACTAGAAGGTGCTTTATTTACAGTAGTGCTGCGATAAGGAAACCTGGTTTCCTATGGCTCTGCCCCAAGGTTGATCTGGCTCAGAAGAAAATCCGAAGATTTGTTTGAAGCTTTTCCAAGGGTGAGACCGCAGGTCCTGCATCTCCCTCCACCCCTGCAGGGATGCTGGTGAGGACTAACGGTGCAAAACTGGGCACACTGGGTTCAAAGGTGCTGGGGACGTGCAGGCGAACGCGTGGGGAATGAATCACATCAGCTTGTTTCCTTTGGGGAAAAGGGGCTTAAAAGGATCAATCCCCTTCTACAAGGACAGCTTCCTCCTTCACTCCACACGTCCCCGCTCCTCCCAGCCCTGTCCTTGGGTGGGACCTTGGGCCGGCATGGACCTGGGAACTTATCCAAGCTGAAAAATTGTCTGTGTACCCTGCACAGGAGGTGTCTGGAGATCCCGTGTTTACCAAGCAGACCTTCATACCAAAAGCACTTTGGTGTCTCCCCAGCCCCATCCCTGCTGGCTCCTGCTGGGCCCTGGAGGAAGAGGGGACGGGGACAGGGACTGAGCCAAGACCTGGGCACTGCAGCCCTTTTTGGCCACGGGAATGGCTGACGTGGGTCCATGGGCATGAGGGCTGGCAGGAAAGCACCTGCACCTTTGTACTGGGGGGTGCTCAGGACCCTCCATGTGGCCCCAAGGGTGGGCAGCAGTTCCTGGGGGGCAGTGGGGTGGCAACAGGCTCTGGAGCAGCAGATCCCGGGGGGGCAGGGGATGCTCGTGGGGAGCAGCGGTCTCCATTGGCATGGGCTGGTGACAGCTTCCCTGGAGAGGAGATTTTGGGGGGGGGGTGCAGCAGCTACCCCTGGGGT